GATGAACCCCAAAAAGGGACACATGACGTGCATGATAAAATGACGAAAGGACTGATCCAAGAGTTCGAAAAGGAAGTTGTGATACAGGAAAAAAATGATGATGAACAACTCTGCTTCAAATTGATTGACTGGCTCTGTAAGCCTAACCTCTGTCCCCTCTGAATTTTGCTACATGGGCGCCAATTGCATTTTTACAATTACATTACATCGCTCACATACTCGTGTGTTTATAAATATTAACGTAACTTCAAATGCCTGCCAGTAATGAATTTTCTGTCATCGTCTGCAGGCTCATCTTTTTTCTGCATGAAGTCCATTAAAAATCCCATTTACGTGTCCCCAAGCCACGCTAGCATGGTTTACGGTACGATAGATCGTCTTCAAATTTTAATGAACTCCAACAGGAAGTTGACGTTGGGTTTAATTAGAAGAGCCAAATCTTCCTGGGAATGTATACATTATAGTCGGCAGACAGAATTTTTCTCACATATAAGCTCATCCCCGACTACCTCCTTTAATGTATCGGATCTATATTTAGAACGCATGGTGAGTCAGTGGGACGAACATTACATTGTTAATACTGCATTCGTTTTTTTTTAATTGTAAATAGCAGTTTCATAAAATTCACAAAATCCGTTGTTTGTAGTAGATGGTGTGGTACCATAATATAGTCTTTGCTATAATGATGACAGCACTTTGCACATGCAGGCACACAGAGTATGAAACCGATCTCTAATACTAAGCTTGAAAAACATGGCGTCAAGTAGGTTAACTCTGCACTTCCCAAGCAACGCTGTACTCAGGGCATAAAGGATTATGTTCAGCACAAGTTAGGCCCTATCGAAATAATACGGCGCTATAGACGTTATATCCTGGATAGAAGATAGTTTTTTATCCTGCTATCAACATGTATCACGCTTTTATTTGAAAACTTGAGATGAAAGAGCTTCATTATTATTAAAATATTTCCAATCGAAAAAAATATTTTTAGACCTTTAGTTCATTTTATTAAGAGCTAAACAAAAGCATGTTTTCAAAATTGTATTTTTCTAGCCTATTCTAGTCTGGTAATTTCTATATAGTTTTCATATATTTCATTAATGGAACCTCATTTGATACCCATATCATGGCAGTGGCTATGCCAATTATAATTCGCCATTTAGTGGCGGCTGCCATATTGGTCTTAGAATTACATCACTTTGCTTATTATGATTCCCTCATCAAGCCCTTCCATCTGATACCCACAGTATAGGGGTGAAAATGGCAATCGTAATTTTTCCGTCCGCTATATTGGATGTAGTATGACGTCACGTTACTTGTTATGCTTCTTTCATTAAGCCCTTCATATTACTCCTATGAATCATATACAGAGTGCGGCAGAGAGGACGCACGTTTTTGGGATGAGTAGTATTCTCCGCCTCCGTCTACGAGAGAGGTGGGGAGGGTGCCGCTTGACTCGTGAGATCCTAGCATTATTTTACCAGTTGTCGTTATGGAGCCTTGGACGGTGGAGCACTGCGTTTTCGCCTATGATTGTTTCGTCCGAAATAATCTGTCAGTCATCGTCGTACAGCGTGAGTTTCGTCGCCACTTCAACATTCATCGGAATAGAGCTGTTCCCTCTCGAAACACCATCCTTCGTTGGGTTGAATCACTTCGCAGGCGCGGTGAACTGATCAACAGAAGACCAAGAGGAGCGCCGCGAACAGTTCGAACTCCTGAAAATGTTGAACGCGTTCGACAGGTCTTTCTTCGCAGTCCGACTCGATCTGCCCGGAAATATGCTGCTGCACTTCGGCTTAGTTCGGTAAGGCGAATTTTGCATATGGATCTCCGCTTTCACCCCTACAAATTGGCCATTGTGCAACAGTTACAGCCCGGAGATTATGCACAACGAATGAACTTCGCACGTGAGATGGAAGCACTGATCGATCAAAATGTGAACCTCATTTTGTTTATGAGTGACGAAGCCCACTTTCACCTAAACAGCATGGTTAACCAGCAGAATTTTCGTTATTGGGCTAATGAAAATCCGCAACAGTTACACGAAAGACCGCTGCACAGCCCAAAAGTAACGGTTTGGTGCGCTGTATCGCAAATTTGCATCATTGGCCCTTACTTCTTCGAAGACGGTAATGGTCGTGGTGTTACCGTGAACTCAGAGCGCTACATCGACATGATCACCAACTTCTTTAACTCCCTGAATTATTATGGCGACGTGTTCCAATCCGACGTGTGTGGTTCCAGCAGGATGGAATGACCGCCCACACAGCCCGAGCATCCATGGACGTTATTCGCCCTCTCTTCCCTGGTCGCCTTATTTCCAGGTTTGGCGATGTTCATTGGCCTCCTCGGTCCCCAGATTTATCCATATGCGATTTTTTCCGATGGGGACACCTCAAGGCTAGAGTATACGCGAACAAGCCCCGAACTCTGGACGAATTGAAGGGCGAAATTCGCGTGGAAGTCGCCCAAGTTGAGAGAGCGATGTTGGAGAGGGTCTACGCGAACTTCCAAGAACGCCTCCAGCACTGCATCAACGATTTCGGCGACCCCATGCCTGATGCGATTTTCCACACTTGACTGCCTTAAATGCTATTTCCTTGTCAACCTGATTCCATCAATAAATTTGTTTTCGAGTAAAAATTAACTATTTTATGATTTTCTTAAAAACGTCCATCCTCTCTGCCGCACCCTGTATTATAGGAGTGACTATTGTAATTATAAACGCCATCTAGAATGTCGTAACTGTGCTTACTGCGTCTTTCCCACCAAGTCCTTTATTTATTTGATATCCATATCGCATGGATGACTATGAAAAATAAAAAAGTTATTTTGCGATGGATGCCATATTGAATATAGAATGACTTCACTTTGCTTATTGTGTTTCTCACATGATGCCCTTTCATTTGATACCCGAATCATAGAGGTGACTGTGAAAAATGTATGTTGCCATGTTGCGACAACCGCCATATTGGATTTAGGATGACCTCACTCTGCGTATTGTGTTTCTCCCATCAATCTCTTTCATTTGATATTCATACCTTGTGGGTGACTATGAAAATTTTGTAGCCATATTGGATGCAAAATGATATCTATTGCCACGAGCACCAAACGTTTGTACAAAATTTCAATTCTAAGATTTGTCGCACACATAGATACATACAAACAGGTCAAGTTAAATAAGCGCTTGTAGAAATAATTATTTATCATTCGATCTTTAGACTGAGTTTGAGTTTAATACAGGATCTTAGACTAGACGGTACCTCTGTATTCAGACTGTGCCTTAACCAAAAAAAAGATGTTCAATTCCATAAAAACACAGATAAGTACATATAAATATTATCGGTTTGTGCAAGAGGCATTCGAATGCGTATTCATTTATTTTTTGAATACGCTAGAACAAATCCAATAATTTAGTTGACAGAAGACAATGACGAGACGTCTGGTGGTCTTCTTGAAATGCCGACAAAGAAGAACCCCTTCATTAGTCCAAATCTCACGAGAGGAGGAGCGATTCGAATCGAACTTGAAGGCATATCGTCATATTTCAAGACAACTGTCACGCTGCCGCATTTAATGAGATGTAAAAATATCCAGGATCTCAGCTCGGGGACCCTTTTTGTGGAGCCAGTGGCGGCAGATAGGGGATGTCGGTCATAATAAGAATGAAAATATGCATTAATATTTTTGAGGGCTACAACAACAAATCACCAAGTCACAGACAAGACGCAGCGATACTCCAAGAGTTTTGACACTACTTATTATGGGAATCTTCGTGATAGATTCTTACATCTTCAAGCAGTGACAACCTCCATATCTTTCGCTAACCGTGTTGTCCTCTTCAGCTCATTCCAAGAGTCTTTGTGTGCAAAGGTTTTGGGACGCAGTTTATTGCGGTATTTATTATACAATATACAGGGTGTTTCAAATTTGACCCTCACCATTGGGATATCGGAGACTGTAGGAGATACGAAGTCACTTGAATGGGGGTACGAAGAAAGGCGGAAAAAATCGAATGTTCCCAAAATCGTTTTAATTGTCTCCAGACTTTATTTGTAGTGAGATTTTTAAATAAATTGCACAATCACATTGCGACTTTTTCTCCTCTACAAGATGGCATAATGAGAATTCCAATATGACGTTTCGTCTCTTGTCATCCAGCATCAACTTCATTTTTTCGTTAGGACGTCATATCGGATTTTTACACAGATCATTCTGATTTCAAAAATGTATAACACGTCATACATTAGCATTGAAAAACCTCAGTTATTGCCAAAAAGCATACCAGATTTATCCTAAAATCAACAACATATAAGCAAATGCAAACTAACCCTACACCATATAAAAAAACAAGAATCAATTTTGCAACTGATATCCTGAAAGAAAAAAAGAAGCTCTACCAGGACCAAACAAATAAAAATAGTAACAATTCATGTAATCTTTGTAAAGCGCTAAATGACACGATTCCATCGAAAAATAAAAACCAAATGAGATTAAGGATGAATCTGCGAATCTGGGAAAATTAAACAGATTAGTAAAACCTTTGTGAATTATCTTACTAAAGTGGGCGATAATTTATATAAAAAGTCAAAAAAATGAATAATAGTCCAGAGTTTCCTAAAAGACAAATATCAAATTCTATTTATCTGGAACACGTTTCTGAAGATGAATTGATTACAGTAATACAATCTATAAAAAATAATAGATGGCTTGAAATAGACAAAATTCAAGCAGAACCACTAAAACTGCAGAACCATTTTGTTTTATAGTAAATTACATTACACCAATTCATGAATCAGGAAACAAAACAAGCACGTTAAATTATCGTCCAATTCCCCTACTATCTGGCATAGCAAAAATCATTAAAATTAGGATGAATAAATTACTAGGTAAAAACAACATACTAGCCGTTAAGCAATTTTCATTTTGGGAAAATATGTCAACACAAGATGCCATGAAAGTAGTATGATCAGAAATTAGTCAGTGGATTGATTCTGAATAGATATTATTACCATTACTATTACTATCCATCCTTACGGGTCGAAGACGCTTCACAGTGGAAATATTTTCTACGCTCAATATATACTGTTGCAAATATCACTCCCCATGAGAAATAACCTCCAAAACAAAAAAGATGACATTTTTGTCAAGTCCATCAAAATTGACCCTTGGCTAAAGAAATTATGTTTCAGTGCTTGTTGCTAATCACAGAAAAGTAGTCGAAGCTTAATTTGCAACAAAGTAGTACCCCAGAAATGGATGAGAATAACTGGAATCCGCCAAGTGTGAGTACGATAATCTACACGGAATTAGTACCCAGTACTGATTTCATTTTTTAGGTATCTGGGTATCCTTATCTAAAATTGAAGGATTCTGCATATGCACACCTATAGAGTACTAGTTCTTATTCCAATTCCACTGGTCAATTTATTTTTTGATTGCAGAGACCAAAAAGAAACGACGCATCTAGAGGTGGCGGCTCACCCAGAACAAGAGCCGCCACAAGAACAAATCCATTAAACATCAATTTACCTTCTGCATCTGCATATATAGATGACGTGACAATCAATGCGGTGTTGACTAGCAGTCTGATAGATAACATTGGACCTGGCAATTTCACTCAAGTAACTCATGACAATTAACACTAAATTCTTAGAAATATTTGCGATAATTAAAAGAAGAATAGTTCTTATTCCATAATGTCCTTTTGTACGTAGGATATGCTTATACAGGGTGTCCCAATATTAATTAAAAAAAAACTAAACGATTGGACATGATTTATCTCTATGCAAAACCGCTTCATTTGTCCGTTAGAGGGCATCAGTTTTGTTATTAAAACACATTTTTTCAGATGTATTTGGAACATAGTACAATTTGAATGAAATTTATCACACATTAGACGTCCTAATATTTGACTTTCACAGAAAAACACGAAATGTTTCGAGAAGGGTGAAAACTACCCTCACCCCTACATAAATTATAGCAGAATTTTTCACAACTCACCTAACGACGAATTTTGTTTATTTAAAAGATTCTTTATTTTCTTCATGTTTTGTCTCTGCTGATTTCTAAAAATATTTCTTATTACATGAAATGTTAAAATTTTTGCGCCTTATTGCAGGAACGAAAATGTTGGTCATATTGGACATTTTTTCTGAAAGATTCGAGCCAAAAGGTTTTGCTATAATTCATGTAGAGGTGGGGTACTTTTCACCCTTCTTGGACACCTTAGAATGTTTCGTATAAGTTAAATAGTAGAACGTTTACCAAAACATGTGTATTCCAGATTTCATTTAAATCAGAGTATCGCTTAATAAAATATCTCAAAAATGTGTTTTAAAAAGGACACTGTTGTCCTCTAACGGACAGTATAGAGGTTAATCATGTCCAATCGACTTATTTTTAGTCTAAAAATACGTCGTACTTCTAAATCCACGAAATATTGATACATCCTGTATAAAATAGCAGTAGAATTTACAAATATCCTTGCATGTAATATTTTATAGATGGCAAAATGCGAGCATTCACCTTTTTTGACAAATGTAAACCAGAACATCCACCGGAGTTTTCAAAGAGCAATCGACTCCAAATCTGCAATTTAAAAAAAATGTTGCTTCACTATTTACACTGTCAGATAGGTTAAAGATGGCTCACTTGCTAGGCTTTACTTTCTCACCAGTAATATCTCAAAATTGCCCATAACGGCACAGGACACATAATTATGACGGATCCGTCAACGCCAGTTAGACAGAGCCGTATTTTGTTTTGCTGTTTTGTACGCTACATATTCATTTTGTACTTGCTAACAGCTCTTTTATTTAGAAAAGTCCATTTGCATACAAAAAACAAAACACCACAAACAAGTTTTACTAGATTTATACCCGATTCATTGTTGCCAATGTTGCAGACTAAGACAAAAATGTCACTTGCTGATCAGCTGTTCACCTCAGTAGACATCAAAGCGTAATTGATACTCGTGAAATAGGGTATACACTGAGATTAGATCAATCAACAGGTTCGAATAATAGCATTTCATTCTCGAACGTTTGAAAATCTTGCTTAACTTGTAGTTAACGAAAAAATCGAGACAAGTATTGACTGGTTCTAAGTTCAAAATCTTCAGAACAGAACTAACGTATTTCCTATTTTCGGTATTGTGCCGAAAAGTTACGTCAGAAGTATCCTAAGTCCAACCATGTCAGATAAAGGTGTGACAGAACGAGCTTATGACGCAGGCTCAAGTCCACTTAAGATTATTCGCATTTACTTCTTCGTATAGACGTATTCGGTACCATTCACTACCATAGCTGCTGTAAAAAAAATGCGAAATACCCAAAGTGGACCTGATCTAGTTCTGCATTAAATCAGGTTTTCAAGAAGAGATGTATTCTCCGTACCATATTTTATTCTCAAAGTGAGGAAGAAGATGGTGCTATAATAATTGTTGAATTGTCTTCAATAAATATTTTTTCCAGTTTAGAGTTCCAATGAGGAATTCAAGCGGATATATTAATGCTAACGAAACATTTGGAGAACAATCTGAATTTGCCTTCAGCTGGATGGCTAAGCACATTGGCCAGGTAAGAAACTGTACAGATGTTATACAGCTGATCCTTTTTTTAGAGCTGCCAGGGTTTTTACATGAAAAGCAATCAATAGGACTTTTAATGCAAGTTTGACTGCAATTCTGGTGGAATAAATAGTAACTTACAAGTTACCAATGCATGCAAATGTCCCTAGGCTCGACCGGTGGTTTGTGTGGCTATGTTTCATTGTTCAAAGATATACGTTTGATTGTGTTTTGATCTTGGATGGTAGGACATTGGAACTAGTTTTTGGATATTAAAGTCACGTGTGCTGAAGAGTGAAAATCAAAACCAGAATTATAGGTTTGAATCTAGAAGGCAGGGCCGTCTTGTAACTGCAATTGTCTTGCAGACAAAACAATACCCTCCTGCAACTGCAAGAGCTTGCATGCAATGTAAAGGGTATTAACAATAGTCTGGATTGAAGTTTTGATGTCGACAATATTTTTTACTTTACATTTAGACATTGGGAGTTATTCAAATTGCTGAGGTCATGATTCACGATAATTTGCCTTCGACTGTAGCTGCTGTTACAGTTGTTGGTTTATCTAGTAATACTTCCCACCATCCAGTATGTCCACTTTGTGCCAAGTTCAGTTCGAAATAGTGCGGAAGGAAGATGAGACTGTCAAGCACCCGCTTTGCGACTGGAGGAAAGTTGGCCCTCTATATAAGGAAAACTCCACTGGGTCACATCACCACATTTTCCAGTAGTTTGGGGTAGTTAATGATCCAGATCTGAGTGACTCATGGGAAGGACGTACCCCCAATGGGCTCTGAGTGCTGTAATCTTGACTGATTGCCTTTCCTAAATACAGGATACAGAATTAATCACACTGCAAGAACGCTAGCTATCTATGAATGCAAGAATGATGTAACCGCTATTATGCTGATATTTGCCTAAACTTCTGCAACCCACATTTCGCTAGCATAGTTTCTTGGTTGCAGCATCGTAGAATACTATATCGAGCTTACTGCTGAAACAAGATGTAATGAGTGTAATAAGTATGATAATTACTACCGCATGCACCTTTATCCTCCAGCACGGCTTTTGCCTGCTGGATTCACAATTTCCTGACAACAGTAAAACATTTCCCAAGCGATACTCTGTGGACGACCGTAGGTTTCATTGTTACTACATTTCCACACCCTGTGAACCATTATCACTAGAGCATGGGCCAAATCGCTCTACTTTCCTGCTTCTTTGTCTGTCTCAAATGTCACATATGACGCCAATTGTCAAAACAGAAAATTCTACGTGTAAGTGATTCACTGTTGATCCCAAGGTGTCAAATTCCAGGGAGGAGGCAGAGGAGCGGCATACGCGCGTCTCAAGAAATTCGAAAAGGAGCTCACCAGCAACGTCGGAGGACAGCAGTTTATTGAGGAGGAGGACGAGCCTCTGCAGAAGGATCCCAGATTCCTGCTCTCGCAACTCGCCATGGCCGAGCAGAATGGCAACCCACAGGTCGCTTCCGATCGGGAGGAGTCTATTATGGAGTGGTACGCTTTTTATATAGTCATTAAAGGCCGATTCATAAACTCGCCGTTCGTGGTTCGGCGTGGCAGTTAGTCGCTGCAGTACAGTAACAATTAATAACTCTTGACTGCAACTGTCAATTCTCAGGAACTTGGGACATACATCACCTCAATCGCGAAGTAAAAATTGTGATTGTCACAACCAGTGTTTGTAAAAGCCTAACTGAAATGGGTTTTGGAAATGAACCCAGCAGTCAATGCGTTAACTGCACCTGCAAAAGTAAAAACTTGGTAAAGTCGTACGGCCAACGCCAACGGCAACGCCGAAGGACAACAGTTTATACATGGTTATACAGATTGCCAAACTTTAAACTTGAACGCCAACTGCAACGCGAACGACCAACGACGGACGCCGAGCTTATAAGTCGGCCATGAATCATGTACTAAATCTTGGGAAAAAGTGTACAGAAAGATATCCTCAAACAAACCAATTCGAAAATGCAATACTGTTCTTTGAACCTTATATGCCATGTATGTATATCACGGAAAACCATGTCACTCATTTCTGTCGGCCTGTCTGTCGGACTGTCCGCTAATCCTTGGCCCGACGATAGTTTGGAAAGTGCTGTTCGGATTCTGATAAAGTGCTCACTCAATGTTACTACAGGGTGGGCCATTTAAAGTGGAAGGATTTGTTTATAAAACAAAAATACATTAAAAATATTTTTGTTGTTCATTTGAGAAGTCTTTAATTTTGATCCAAGGAGATTTGTAGTAATTACTGTTCAAAAATGATATCCCGCAAATCGCCACCTCTGGCCTTGATAACCAAATGTGCCTTTTTTTCGGCGTTTTCCATCACGTTGGCCAATGTTTCGGCAGCAATTTCTTGACGAATATTGTTCTTGAGGGCAGTTAGAGTCCTTGGATTTCAACTAGCCCTACAAATAAAAGTCTGGTGACGTCAAATCAGGTGATCTCGGTGGCCAGTCAAAATAGCCATTTTTCGATATCAGGGAACAATTGTCGCAATAAATTGATTGTTGCTTGAGCTGTGTGGCATGTGGAGCCGTCCTGCTGGAACCAGTAATCGTCCATGTCATTTTCACAAACAATTAGCCTCAAAAAATTCGTTATCATGACTTAATAGCGCTCACCATTGACGGTTACCGCAGCTCCATCATCGTCTTCAAAAAAATTCGGCTCGATGACCATATTCGCGCACATGCCGCACAAAACAGTAACTTTTTGGTCATAAAGAGGATGCTGTTCGATTGATTGAAATATGCCTCGTCGGACATGATGATTTTACGCCAAAAGTCATCTTCATTTTCGGCCATTTCAATGATCCATTTAGCAAAATCGAAGCGACACGGATAATCAGCTGGGTTCAATTGATGGGCCATTTGAATTTTGTATGGAAACATCCTTACGACTTATGCGTCGGAAAGTGGTTCGAGCGATGCCTAACTCTTGAGAACGATGACGACCGGATGTTGATGGAGTCTCTTCAACACTTTCTCGTAGCTTCGATATTTACATCGGAACGGCTTGTTCGTTGTCTGGATAGGTGACTGGCATTACTAAGACTACCGGAGTTCACAAATTTTGCGTACAAACGTCTGATAGCGTTATCAGCTAGAGCATATTTAACTTTATTTTTTTTACGAAACGCACGTTTAGTTTTCACGATTGAGAAGTTATTTTGAATGTACAACTGAATAATTTCAGCGCATTGTTTTGGTGTGTACTGTTCCATGGTTAATATTATACTGAAATGACGCTTCCAACGCGGTATGACATTAGTCGATCAGTCAACTAATGTCAAAGATATGGGGTTGCTTGATGCTTCCACCTTAAATGGACCACCCTGTACTATTCCCAAGACGAAAAAGATTTGTATTTTGTGGCAGTCGGTCCAGTGGCAGTAACTACCGGTAAAAACAAAAAAAAAATAAAATAAAAACCGCCCAACATTCCTTGTGGGTAAAAAATTGGGAGTTGCAGTTGTAGCTTCTCAATGCGAAATTCTTTACAGTGAGGTGGTTTGAACAGCAAAAAATACTAGTGACTCGAATCCCTGCTTGGACTAGGGGAACGGGTCTTTTTGGTTCTTCTGCCCATTTTAGCGCCCGATTTATCTAACAAACCGAATTTGTAGTTCTCATGCCTCTGGCGAGGAAGCGTTGCAGCGTTCTCGCAAACTTTCATGGAAGTGGTTCTAGATGACAGCAAGTGCCTCCAAGCGGGTCTTGATTATTCTTGAACCTCAGTCAATCCTGCAAGCGCTGAAGTCCGGTCGTGTAACAATTGTTGCCTAGCGTCGACATCCATTGTTTTTTTGTCTGTCTGTCGGTCTGACAACTATCCCTGGCCCGTCTTTAGCGCCGCCCGGAGTTTGATACACTTTCCACACAAGGACAAGAAAGCTTTATAGTTTTTGAAAATTGGTCGAGTGTTGGCAGAGCTAGGGGCGAAGAACAAAATATAAAATTCGCTCCTAATTATTATCATAAAATTTGTGAGGATTAAAAATTGATTGGATTGTGGGGGTATATCTCAATGTTTTTATGTTACTATGTATATATGCTTTCAGATCCGGTAATTCTAACCATCTATTTGCCATATTTCACACGTGATATATTTCCCCGTACATTTTCTCTTAAAAGTTGCAATGGTAGAGGAATGTTTTTAATTCGCATCTGTGCTGACCGGCGTTCCGATGACTGTCCTGTCGTATCTGCCGCGGTCCCACACTGCCCAGCACAAAACAGATAAGACTGAAGAAGTGGGAGCTTCACGTTAAACAGTGGCAACGCCTTTGATGTTTGTCAGATGGCTGCGCCGAATACTTGCCTGAAGATCTGGAGGAACTATGGAAGGAATACCGACAATGCGCCTGGAATAAGGAATGCTAGGAATGTGTCGGGCTGCCGGGGATTTCGTTTGTTCATAATTTGAAATCTGCTGAATATGATATTTCCCATATTGAAGGTATATTTCATGAACATATATTCATAAAATATCCCCAATAAGGGTAATATCTCTTTCAGCAGTTTTGCAGAGAAGCACCAAATTTATTTAGTTTCATATGCTGTTGACAATGGTATAAAAATTGTATTATATGAAAACATAGATAGATTTTTTTCAAATTCGTGTTGAGTGTTGCAAGACACAAGTGTTTCACTCCACTGTACCGCTTCTTGATAATTCTGAAACAATACAGAAAACACTAATATGATTCATAATTCTTTGAAGATAAGCTAGTACTTTTAATTAGTTTGCCCAGTTCTAAGCCTTTAATTTGTTGGCCCTTCATACTTTATACAGGGTGACGTGTAATGTCACGTATTCCTTAAGGGGTGATAGATTAGGTAAAAGCAACCAATTTTGTCCTATCATGTCTTATCCAACAGTTAACCATTTTTGAGTTATTTGAATTTTAAGTTTTTTTTTATTCCGATTTCAGGCGGTTAAATTTGAAATACAAAAAAAATACATGTTTGATTTTGAGCTTTTTGTTATCGTCGCATAGCGGACATTCCAATAGTTTATAATAAGTAATAAAATGTTGAAAACTTACAAAAGTTTTAAAAATACGCTTTTGAAATGTATGATTTTCTTATTTTTTTTACTAACTTATTCGATAAAAATACAATTTTCTGTAAAAAATCTCCAAGTAATAAAATGTGCAAATTATGTAAATATTATCTCTATCTAACAAGCTTTCATTTGAGGTATAAAAGTTACAACTAACTCAAGTACAAAAACATAAAATTAAAAAAAGATGAGTAAAGTTGTACGTACGATAATTAGGTAGGATAAATAAAAAGCTTTTATTTTAATTACAGTTTTATTTAATTTCATTTCCTTTAGTATTTTACAGATTCTGCTCAAATTATAATCCCCTGTTACGAATACACGCCCGCATTCTCTTACGTAATTCACTTTTGGTAACTCTAGTTGTTAAGCGGCTTTTTATTTGGTCAGCTGCACTGATTATCCTTGTAATTAATTCATCGCGCGTTGGTACGGGCGAAACATCGTACACCAGGCTTTTCATATGTGCCCACACATAGTAATCCATCGGTGTGAGATCTGGGCTTCTTGCTGGCCAGGCAATGGGCCCGCCTCTGCCAATCCATTGATTTGGAAACATAGAGTCTAAATACTCCCGTACTAATCTACTGTAGTGTGCGGGACAGCCGTCGTGCTGGAACAGCATATTTTGTCTCGTCGCCAATGGGACGTCTTCCATTAATGGAAACAAGTGATTTTTCAAGAACTCTTCATACACTTCTCCATTTAAATTGGCGGGCAGAAAATGAGGTCCAATTAAATATACATCAGCCCATCCACACATTGACTGAAAACCGGCTTTGAGACCCCTTCGGTCTTATTTTTCGGAGGTTTAAAGCTTCTTTATCAGCCCAGTAATGAGCATTATGGTAGTTAATGATCCCGTCCTTATCAAACTTCGATTCATTGGTCCACAGAATTTTCTTAAAATAGTCTGGATCTTCTGTATCTGCATGTAACATGTACCTGCAGAAACCTAATCGTCTTGCAGGATCGCCCTCTTCAATCACATGCACAGGCGTGTAGTGATAAGGGTATAATCTTGCAGTATGCATAGTAAACCATATTTTGTATTGTGATATACCCAACTGAGCAGCCACAATGCGCGTAGACGTAGTAGGGTCTTCCTGAAACACACGAAGGATTTCCTCTTCATCTTCAGGAGGATAGATTTGGGGTCGACCAGCATCACTATGTTGCCTTTGAACACGTCCGGTTTAGCGGATACACAGAGTCAAACACAGTAACATGGTGTGTGCGGCGATTCGGGAAACTTTGCCGATATTCACGGCGGGCAGCTGCAGAAGCGCCGTTACAAAGTCCATAACAAAACCTTATGTCTGCGTATTCTTCATTTGTAAAAATTTGACCGTGCTCGCTATGGCGAGGTCCTGGCGGATCTTCTGCATCTGCCATGATGATAAAGAAACCACTCGAAATGAACT